GGCGGATAAGTGATGGGGGTTAAGAAGAGTACACTTATCCTGTATAAGTTTCTCTTACTGCTATAATAAGTTACCCCAAGCTTAGTGGCTTTCAGGACTTTATCTTACAGTTTCAGAGCTCAGAAGTCTGAAATGGGTCTCACATAGCTGAAGTCAAGATTTGGGCAGAGCTGTATTTATTCTGCAGGCTCCAGGGAAGAATCCACTCACTTGCCTTGCCCAGGTTCTCCCTTCCTTGAACCATGGATCCTTTCTCCATCTTTAAAGCCAGCAGCAAACCATCTTCCAGTCTATCTCTGACTCTGACCCTCCTGCCTGCCTCCAACCCCAATAATCCAGGATAAGCTCCCATCCCCATTTTAAACTCCTAACTTAATCACATCTGCAAAATCCCTCCTGCCACATGAGGTCACATCTTCACAGGTTCTAGGGATTGGGACGTGAACATATTTGGAGGGGTCATTACTCTGCCTACCACACATATCATGGAATACTACTTACCAATGAAAAGGAATCGACTGTTTGGTACAATGAAAAGCCTGGGTGAATGTCCAGGGAATTATGCTGAGTGAAAAGCCAAGCCCAGAAGGTGAAAGGTTTTATAAATTATTCCATTTATATAATACTGCTGAAATGACACATTTATAGAAGTGGAGAACTGGTCAGTCATTACTAGGGGTTATGGAAAGGCTGAGGCCAGGAGGAAAGTCAGTGTGCCTAGAAGGGGGCAACATGTGGTGATGGAAATGTTTGTATTTTGACCGTACCAATGTCAGCATCCTGTTTGTGATATTGTACTGCAGTTTTGCAAAATGTTAGCACTGCAGACACTTGGGCAAAGGGTACACAAGACCTGTCTGTATTATTTCTTGCAACTGCAAGTGTGTCTACAATTATCTCAAATAGCTTAATTTTTTTTTTAAGATTTATTTATTTATCTTAGAGAGTGTGGTGGGGGTGGTGGGGGTGGGCAGAGGCAGAGAGAGAATCCCAAGCAGACTCGCCATTGAGTATAGAGCCTGATGTGGGATTTGATCCCAGGACCCTTGAGATCACGACCTGAGCCAAAACCAAGAGTCGGATGCTTAACCAACTGAGCCACCCAGGCACCCCTCAAATAGCTTAATTTAAATAGAAAGCAATGGAAAGACTTCCCAATAAATTTTATAAGGCCAGAATCGACCTGATACCAAAACCAAAGATATTATGAGAAAAGAATATAAGGGACAAATATTCCTCATAAACCCAAATACAGAAATCCTTAGCAAGATGTTGGTAAATGAAATCATACAAGACAAGAAAAGGATAATACATCATGGTTACATGGGGATCATCCCAGAACTACAAGGTTGGCTTTAACATTCAAAAATCAATCTGTGGAGTTCACTGTAGGAATGTACTACATAAGAAAACTGTATGATCATCTTCATAGATGAAAAAAAAAAAAGGGTTTTATAAATTTAACACCAAATCTTGATTTTAAATACCAGAAAAATAAGAAAAGGGACTTTACTCACCTAAATAAAGGACATCTAAGAAAAACCACATTTAATGGTGAAAGACAATTTTTTCCTTCTGAGTTTGGAAACAAGCAAGGATGTCCACCCTTAAGACTCTCATTCATCATAGTAAAGGTGGTCCTAGATAGTGTAATAAGGCAAGAAAAAGTTACACAGACAGGGTCTCATAAAAAAGAGGGTTTGAACTCTTTTATTTTTTTCCCTTTGCACTAAATTTAATTTTGATACTTAATGTTATTTTATTAAAGAATCAACTATTTTTAGGGAAACTTTATTAATACCTAAGTTATAAATTGCACATAATAATGAATTAGTGGGGTGGCACAGTTGGTTAAACGTCTGACCCTTGGTTTCAGCTCAGGTCATGATCTCAGGGTCGTGGGATGGAGGCCAGCCTCAGGCTCCACACTCAGTGGAGAGTCTGCTTGAGATTCTCTCTCTCCCTCTCCCTACCAAACGCCGTCTGCACGCACTCACTCTCTCTCTCTCTAAAAAATAGTAAATAAAAATCAATAATGAATTACCACGCAACTGCAGGCATGACAAAGACTGTCTCACAAGCTTGAGTATTTTTTTAAAGCATCTTTTCAGAAGGGTCCTCTGAAGTAGAGAGTCCAGTAAAGAGAACAATTTTTTGTTTCAATCCAATAATACTGTCCATGTCGGAAGACCCTTGGGGAAACCTACCCACACAGGACACCCTGAGGTGGCTTCGGAACCCTTACCCACGCTCTGCTCTGGTCAGCCCCCTCCACGCAGCCGAGCAGACACAAGGAAGGACGTGTTTTCTATCGCTGTAACAGAGTCCATTTACTTGAGGGGAAAACATCTGTAACGCAGGCTGTAATTCAGGCTGGCTGACCTGGCACTTTGCCTTTTCTTTAAAATATTAAGGTATTCATATCTGAAAATAGCCCAGCCACTCGACCCCACGTATAGAAGGTGTATATGCAATAGCTACAGTCTCTCTGTGAGGTTCACAAAGAAGTTATTCATCTATTTCCTATAAATCAGGGGTCAGAGGGTTAGTCTCTAGCTGTCACTTGGGACCCGAAATAAGTTCCTCTTTAATAAAGGTGTGTTTAACTTTTTTTTTTTTTTTAACAGTCCCAAGAGTTAGGAGAGAGTTGAGCCTAGAATTACATGGTCCGGTCTCCTATCCCACAAGCACGGTGACTCCAGGCCGCACAGAGGCCTCTGACATTTTAGCAGTCTGCACTTGGGGCAAGCCACGCGGCCTCAGTCCACATCGGCTGCTGTAATTGAACACCAGTCTGGGCAGCTTATCAACAACAGAAATGTACTTCTCACAGTCCCAGAGGCACGGGCAGATCTGGTGTCCGGGGAGTGCCCACTTCCTGGTTCACAGCCAGTCATCTTTCTACCCTGTCCTCCCAAGACAGAAGGGGCGAGGGGGCTGTCTGGGGGCTCTTGTATAACAGGAGCACTAATCCCAATCATGAGGTCCCCACCTCTTGACCCAATCACCACCTAATACCATCACACTGGGGGTTAGGATTTCAACATAGAAATTTGGGTGGGTGGGGGAGGGACACAAACATTCGGTCCACAACACGAGCCTTGTTGCATACTCTAACCCCGGTGCAGAAATCGCTGTGCTAGAGCTGGGGTCTTCAGGAAATTGCTGGAGATCCTTGTCATAACCAAAGTTACAGAACCAAATTTAACAAGGGTTTTCAATGGAACCTTTCTTTACAAATTTCACGTAGTGGTTGGAAGAGGGTTCCTTCAAGTGGACTATGTATCTAATACCTTGATTCCGGAGGAAATCCTTGACTTGGCCACACAGGTCTTCCAGGTTTGGGCCTCTTGTGCCTCTGAGCTGCGCACAGAAGGCTGCAGGGCTGCTGCAGAGGCAGGAGGAGAACCCGAGCTTCAGGGTGGGTGGAGGGAGCAGGGAATCCAAAGGGGGTCTGAGGTCCGCAGTGGACATTAACTACTGTCAGTGGATGGGTGTAGACTCTGATATCATGGAGCAGGGAGAGTTTTAAAGTCTGCAAATCAGGTATTAGGGACAGTCCCTGTGTCACCATCTCCTGTCTGGCTGGCTGTGTGCCACTAGCCAGAGGTCCCTAAGGCCGGTTGTTTCCAGGGACTTGCTGCCCCCTCACTCTTTGCCCTCCTGCTCTTTGTCTACAGGGGGAGCTGACCATGACCAGTGACATGGAGACATTACAGAATGCCCTGTACCTGGACACAGTGCCGGAGCCCTGGGCCAGGCGAGCCTACCCTTCCACGGCAGGCCTGGGAGTCTGGTTTTTAGACCTCCTCAACCGAATCAAAGAGTTGGAGGCCTGGCTAGGAGACTTGGCAATGCCCTCCACGGTGTGGCTGACAGGCTTCTTCAACCCCCAGTCCTTCCTGACCGCCATCATGCAGTCCACAGCCCGCAAGAACGAGTGGCCACTGGACCAGATGGCCCTGCAGTGTGAAGTGACAAAGAAGAATAGGGAAGACTTCAGGAGCCCCCCTCGGGAAGGGGCCTACATCCATGGCCTCTTCATGGAAGGTGCTCGCTGGGACGCACAGGTAAGTCTTGGGGGGAGCCTCAGGGCATCCTCTGTGGGCTGATTAACTTACAAATACTGCCTCCACAGAGTGTGAACCTGAAAAGGGATGCCCTGGAATCTTCTAACCTAGGTACCCTTCCCTTGAGGCTATCGAGCCACTTCCGTGCAGCCAGGGATGGTGCAAAGAACACAGACCTTGCGGCATGGGTAGAGTGCAGTGACTAAAACCAAGGGCTCCGGACCCCGACTGGCTGGATCTGAATTGCAGCACCACCATCTACTGCCACTGTGACCCTGGGATGTGGTTCTGGCTCTCCAAATCTGTTTCCTCAAGTGTTAAATGGGAAAAGAGAGTTGCTGCCAAGATTAAATTAGTTACTATGGAGGTCCCTTGGAATAGGGCCTGCCTGGCACATAGAGAGTGCTCCAAAAGTGTTGGGGGTCGGCTATCCCTGCTACTGGGTGACCACCCCCGCCCCCCGCAGCCACTTTCCTCATTCATGAGCCCTGGGAGGGCAGGCGTCCTTTCTGCCTTTTACTTTGCCCCCATCTGCAAAGGGAGCCCAGTAGATACTATTTCACAGGACATTCAGAAAGGATTCCTCACTGAAGCCCAATAAAAATTTGAGTCACCGTGAGACTGGCTCAGATAAATGACATGAGCAAGGATGGATAACTCGAGAACAAGTTTACGTTTGTTATACACATGACCCGGAAGAATTGCTTAGTCAAATACCCTGCTTGGTAAGTGACACTTAACTGTTCCCAGCAATCAGTACAAAGTTAATGGGGAAAAACTGTTAGAAGATCTACAGTATCGTAGAAGGTCCTATAAATATACATATAGAGCTGTACTGGATTAAACAGTGTCTACCAAAATTCTACCAGAACCTCAGAATGTGCCCCTGTCTAGAAATAGGGTCTTTGCAGAGATAAGGAGTTAAGATGAGGTTATACTAGAGCGGAGCAGGCCCTAAATCCAAGGACTGGTATCCTTATAAGGCCATGCTGGAAGCACAGAAACAGATGTCCTGTGAGGACAGAGGCAGAGACTGGAGTGATACATCTATGAGCCAAGGAACGCCAAGGACTGCCAGCACCCCAGAAGCTAGGAGAGAGGCATGGGCTAGTTTCTGCCTCCGAGCCTCCAGAAGGAACAGACCCTGCCTACACCTTGATTTAAAGCTCTGGCCTTCAGCACTGTGAAAGAAGACATTTCTGTTTTAAGCCATCAAATTTGTAGTAACTTGTTACAGCAGCCCTATGAAACCAATCGAAGGCCTGTTAACAGAGAGGACAATGAAACGGGACAGTGTTAATACAGCCTGAACCTTGAGAAGAAGCTGACATCCCCCCTCCACCTGAACATTTGTCCAAGATTCCATCAGTGGGGATCACACATGGATTGTAGGTATAAGATGGCCTAAGGTGGCCAGAATTAGAATACCAAAAAACACCAAACTGAACAATTAGGGAAGAAGTTCAGATGAGCACTGGCACTGTGGGGGCTGGGGAAAGAACACGGATTCCAATCATCTACCTACAATATTTTATTACCTTGTTTCTTCATAATAACTTCCCAAAAAGCAATACCCACCCACCAAGAACTCTGGTTCTCAGTTTCTGCCTCCAGAAAGATGTTAGCAAAATTAAGAGTAAGAACATCCAAAAATCCTCTCCTCCATAAAATCATAACACTGGCCCAAAATTGTCAGAACCAACTTTTTCACAGAACTCTAGAAATCGGGGTGCCTGGGTGGCTCAGTCAGTTAAGCATCTGCCTTCAGCTCAGGTCATGATCACAGGGTCCCGGGATTGAGCCCCGCATCAGGCTCCCTCTCAGCGCTGAGCAGGGAGCCTGCTTCTCCCTCTCCCTCTGCTGCTCCCCCTGCTTGTGCTCTCTCACTCTCTCTCTCAAATAAATAGGTAAATAAAATCTTTTAAAAAAGAACTCTAGAAATCAACCAAAGGCTTTCAGGAATCCAAACAGTTTATTTTTTTTTAAGATTTTATTTATTTATTTGAGACAGTGAGAGCACGCACAAGCAGGGAGGAGGGTCAGAGGCAGAGGGAGAAGCAGGCTCTCCGATGAGCAGGGAGCCCGACGCAGGGCTCAATCCCAGGACGCTGGGATCATGACCTGAGCCAAAGGCAGACACTTAACTGAGCTGCCCAGGCGCCCCCAAAGAGTGCTTATTGAAGAAAAATGTCCAACCCTCAGTAAAAGGAGCAAGCTTTGCAGCCTTTTAACTTGGCTCTGCTACCATCCCATCCCCACCAACTCTGTGGTGGCCTTGAAACAGCAGCCTCCCAGCCACTGGAGGAGGCAAAACGGGAGTTGGAGTACTTTCAAAGTCCCATTCCTAGAAAACCGTCATCATTTTCCCAACTTGTTCATTTCCCAGAAGACCCCATTTATAAGTCTGTCTCTACTTGACCTGAGTGGGAGCTCACCCAAGGCAACAGCCTGTCTCCCCAAGGGCATGTACTGGAAACAGTCAAAGACAACTGTTTAACCTTGCAGCTTGCCTGAGGTGGTAGATAACAGTGCAAATAATAGGCTAACCAAAAAGCTCACAAGGAGAAGCTGCAGAATGAAATGACCTCCAACATGTCACTGGAAACCCAGAAGGCCACGCCCATGTGCAGCCCTGTGCACATGCTCAAGAAAGACCTGAGAAGGCTGGAAGCTCACCTGTGCCTGCCCTCGAGGCTCTGTGAAAGCAGGAAGTGAAGGCTAAGGCACAGTGTTAAACTGCCCTGCTGAGCACTGAAGGCATGCCCAACTCATACACAGAGCCCCTGAGCAAAAACTGTGAGACTTACCAAAATCTCTGTCCTGTTCCTTGCTAACCACTAAGCTAACTGAGCAGGCCACTTCAGTAGTCGTAGTCCTATGTGACAAAGACTTTACAGAATCAGTTCAGAAAAGTCGCTAAACAAACAACAAATCCTGTGGAGGGAGATCTGATCACCAGAGTTGCCACATTATATTATTTAAAATGTTCAAGTTTTCAACAAAAAATTGAGACATGCAAAGAAACAAAAAGGGGAAAAAGCAGTCAAGAGAAATGGTCCCTGAGGGAGTTCAGAAGCGGGACATACCAGACAAAGCCTTTTAATCAGCCATTTTAAATATGTTCAGAGAACCAAAAGAAAGTATGTTAACAATGTCTCACTGAATAGAGAATACTAATAATGGGATAGAAATTACATTTCAAAAAACCAAGTAGTAACTCTAGAGCTGAAAACTATAATACCTTAAATGAAAATTCAATAGAGGGATTCAACAGAAGATTTGAGTAGGCAAGAATCACCAAACTTGGAATACATCAATTAAGATTATCCAACCTGAGAAGCAGAAAGATAAAATGAAGACAAATGAACAATTTAAAAACCTGAGGAATACCATCAAGCATACAAACACCCACACAGTGGGAGTCCCAAAAGAAGAGGAGAGAGAGCCAGAGCCAGAAAGAATACTTGAAGCAATAATGACCACTTTCCAGATTTGATAAAAACATCAATCTACACATGCAAGAATCTCAACAAAATCCAAATAGGATCAACTTAGAAATCCATACTTTGAGGCACCTGGGTGGTTCAGTCAGCTAAGCCTCCGACTCTTGGTATCAGCTCAGGACTTGATCTCAGGGTCATATGTTTAAGCCCTGCATTGGGCTCCACGCTGGGTGTGGAGCCTACTTAGACAGGAGAGGAAAGGGAGAAGGAAAGGGAAAAGGAAAGTAAAGGAAAAAGAAAAAGGAAAGGAAAGGAGAAAGGCAAGGGAAAAGGAAAAGGAAAGGAAATCCATACCTTGACATGTTATAAGATAAAGAGAGAATCTTGAAAGCAGCAAGAGAAAAGCAATTCATCAAATACAAGGGGTCCTCAATGGGATGAACAGTTGATTTCTCATAAGAAACCAGGAAGGCCAGAAGACAGTAGAATGAAAGGCCAAACTGCTGAAAGAAAAAGACTATCAGCCAACAATTCTATATCCAGTAAAACTATCTTTCAAAACTGAAGGAGAAATTAAGACATTCCCAGGTTAAAAAGAAAGAGGGGCACTTGGGTGGCTCAGTCTGTTGAGCATCCAACTCTTGATCTCAGCTCAGGTCTTGATCTCAGGGTCATGAGTTCACAATGAGAGAGAGACAGAGAGAGAGAATTTACCACTAGCAGGCCAGACCTATAAGAAATACTTAAGGGAGTCCTTCAGGATGAAATGAGTTACAAGACAGTAACTCAAGTCCACATGAAGAAGTAGAATACCAGTAAAGGTAATTATATATGTAAATATAAAAGAAAGTATAAATGAATTTTTTTGTAACTTTTCTTTCCTGTCTGGTTTATTTTTTTATTATTATTGTTATGTTATGTTAATCACCATACATTACATCATTAGTTTTTGATGTAGTGTTCCATGATTTCCTATCTGATTTAAAAGACAGCTGCAAGAAGCAATAACTATAAATCTGTGCTGATAAGCATAAAAGATGTAATTTGTATAATGAAAACAACACAAGGTCTTAAGCACAAGAAGGGTAAGGAATGGAACTTATCTAGGAATAGAGTTTTTGTACACTACTGAAATTAAGTTGGTATTAGCCTGAAGTAGATTTTTATACACTGATGTTAATTATAATCCCTAGGGAAACCACTAAGAAAATAATTTTTTAAAACAATAAAAGATGTATCTTTAGGTTCAAAATGAGTCTCTTGTAGATAGCATATGGATGGGTCCTGTCTTTTTATCCATATCCTGCCAAGGAAATGTTGAAAAAGAAAAAGCTGGGGGCATCACATTGCCCAATTTCAAGCTATATTACAAAGCAGTGATCACCAACACAGCATGGTACTGGCACAAAAAC